ATAAGCGGGTGTTGAACATGTCACTCAGCACAACCCAAAAGACAGGTATGTCTCTATACTGCTCATTAGAGTTGGTGAGTCCATAGATTATACAGTCGAAAGATTATTCCCCATCACAATCAAGACAATACATCATGATTCAGGTTCATTCTCGGACTATGCGTGACACTTTAGACATTAAATACCATCCCCAGTTTAATAAATCCTGTCTGGTATGTGCTGGTCGTAGGGTCTAATTCTTCATGGTGATGGAGAGCTCTGAAAATTGCAGCTGAATTATTATAGGCAATTTACAAAGTTGGCACCGAACAATCTTATTCAATAGTATTTGAGAGGACACCGGAGACCTGAGAGTGTTGTGCTGTTGTCTTCTGTCATCACATCGTCTTTAAAACAGATTTTTACAGTGAAAGTCGAGATGTATCAGGAGTAAATCAATATGTTGTCTTGAAAAATAATATTGTGGTTTGTAATTAATATCAAGAATAACATCATTTCTTTCCCCCTACTTTTTTTGTGAGGTGAGACCTTAGTAGTGGCCAGTGTATAAGGTTCATACTAAAGGATTTGTATGTTGTTTAATAAACAATACATCAAAAATAGTGAAGGTCAATGAGTTCTGCATAATGTGTTTACAATCTCATGAACTTTCCCTAAGAGGGGTCACTGCCACTGTCATTGATATACAGTACTGTAGTCTTCTTATTTTCTTAATGTACAAGGATCCCTAATTAACAGTGAAGTTAGGTCCCAGTCCTTTCAGTGCTTGGGATGGAACCCTAGTAGTCCAGTGCACTCATGGGCTTCCTCGTCCCTATGCACATGTAAATCTGACCTTACTAGCTTTCAAAGGCTTTCCAGGCCAATGTTTGCCTTGAAAAGACAGCTCCCATCGGCCTGATCAGGGGCACTATAATGTGAGAGAGAGAGAAACGGCTAATTATCCTTTTACACTTAAAGAGAGAAATCCTTTTAGTGAGAGCAGACAGAGGACTCCTTTGATACCTGGGCCAGAGCAGGCCTAAATACCAAAGCAAGGGGACGTGTGAGATGTAACTGAATTACAGGGGGACTACTTTCTCCCATTATCAGCGCTCTAACCTCGGTTCTGCTCTGGAGAGGAGCCTTCCTTTTTGCGTCGGCTCCCCCATAGAAAGCCAGGAAAGGTAAAACCCAGATGGTTAGACTTCCTGTCTAGTCTGAGGACGGTCAATTCATTTCCATTGGCATTTGTTCCGTCTGATAAAAAGAAAATAACCCAGCAGATCGGATGACGGCGGGAGACGAGATGCGAATGGAGGGGACTTACAAGGGCATTAGTCTTAGCTGCATGAGCTTGTGAAATTGACCATGTCCCCGCAGGTAGTGCTGGATTTCTTTCTCCTCTTTTTCAGGTGATTTTGGATGCACATGGGGCAAACTTTACCGCAGTCTGGGGCTCAAATTTGCCTTTCATTCTCCAGAGAGCAATGTCAGTGTTGTCATTGTGTTCAGACTAGGGCAATGAGTTCACACACAGCTACTGTACTCTAATTACTCTTACTCTATACTTATGAAATTGCTATCTGTATTGCGCTGGAGACGGTTTTCATTCATTAAAAGCTGCAGAATGCTGTGGTGTGCCTTGAATTCTAAATAAATCACAGACAGTGTCACCAGCAAAGCACCCCCACACCATAACGCCTCCTCCTCCATGCTTTACGGTGGGAACTACACATGCAGAGATCATCCGTTGACCCACACCACGTCTCACAAAGACACGGCGGTTGGAACCAAAAATCTCAAATTTGGACTCCAGACCAAAGGACACATTTCTACTGGTCTAATGTCCATTGCTCGTGTTTCTTGGCCCAAGCAAGTCTCTTCTTCTTATTGGTGTCCTTTAGTAGTGGTTTCTTTGCAGCAATTCGACCATGAAGGCCTGATTCACACAGTCCCCTCTGAACAGATGATGTTGTGATGTGTCTGTGACTTGAACTCTGTGAAGCATTTATTTGGGCTGCAATTTCTGAGGCTGGTAACTCTAATGAACTTATCCTCTGCAGCAGAGGTAACTCTGGGTCTTCCATTCCTGTGGTGGTCTTCATGAGAGCCAGTTTAATCATATCGCTAGATGGTTTTTGCGACTGCACTTGAAGAAACTTTCAAAGTCCTTGAAACGTTCCGTATTGACTGACCTTCATGTCTTAAAGTAATGACGGACTGTCGTTTCTCTTTGCTTATTTGAGCTGTTTTTGCCATAATATGGACTTGGTCTTTTACTAAATAGGGCTATCTTCCCCCACTACCTTGTCACAACAGAACTGATTGGCTCAAACGCATTAAGAATGAAAGAAATTCCACAAATTAACTTTTAAGAAGGCACACCTGTTAATTGAAATGCATTCCAGGTGACTACCTCATGAAGCTGGTTGAGAAAATGCCAAGAGTGTGCAAAGCTGTCATCAAGGCAAAGGGTGGCTATTTGAAGAATCTCAAATATAAAATATATTTTGATTTGTTTAACACTTTTTTGGTTACTACATGATTCCATATGTGATATTTCACCGTTTTGATGTCTTCACTATTATTCTACAATGTAAAAAATAGTAAAAATTTAGAAAAGGCCTTGCATGAGTAGGTGTGTCCAAACTTTTGACTGGTACTGTAAGTGCCGTAATACTTTCACACAACATTGGATTTGGCATTTGTGTATCAAAGGCCTGCATAAAGGGTTCTACCTAGAACCTTTAACATCCTAAGAACCGTTTTTGGAAGAAAGGGTTCTTTGATGATTCTTTGGAAGGCAAGAAGGATTCTTTGGAAGGCAAGAAGGGTTCTACATAGAACCATACACAATATTTCCCAGCATGCTCTACTGCAGGAAGATTTCAGAATTGTTTGTTTTACTGTAATATCTGTGTTTTTGCATGTACATTGATTGGTTGATTCATTTTATGCTACACAAAGATACATACCATCTAAACTAATCCAATCTGATAGTAATTGGATTTATTGCACCCGTTACTGAGATGGTTGTTCCAGTTTAGATCATTGAGGTAGTCTCAGTATTCAATCTCCCTACCCTGGCAGTCATTCTGACTGAAGGCAGGTTGCGGGAGATTAACAATTCAATTTGTTGGATATCCTAACTTTAGCTGGATTCCAAAAGGAATTACACATCACCTTGCAAGCCAGCATAATTTATTTTTATTTTTTTATTTTTAGTCATTTAGCAGACACTCTTATCCAGAGCGACTTACAGGAGCAATTTGGGTTAAGTGCCTTGCTCAAGGGCACATCGACAGATTTTTCACCTAGTCGACTCTGGGATTAGAACCAGCCTAGGCCTGATTTTGTATTTCTATTTATTAGCGATCCCCATTAGCTGTTGCCAAGGCAGCAGCTACTCTTCCCAGGGTCCAAACACATTTAAGTACTTACAGTACATATAAAACAAAATATAAAACAGTACATCATATAACATTATTACACCACTACATATCTACAATACATGTATAATACAAAATGTATAATACCACCATACAAAAAATTACAATGTATGTGTATGCGTATGCGCATGTCTGTACCTTTGAATGTGTCTCTTCACAGTCCCTGCTGTTCCGTAAGGTGAATTTCTACAAAAATACAAAACTGATGTGGCCTGTAAACCAGGAGATTCCTAACAACAATGTGTTAGGGTATAACTATGCCCTCAAAGAAAGGCCTTATGATACATGCAATGTATTGTCATCAATAATTACATTTTAAAGGCTAATAAGGCTGGTGGAACCGTTCATAGAGGGTTCTAAGAAGAAACCTCCAAAGATAAAAGGGTTCTCGGTAGAACCCGTCATAGACGGTTCTCGGAAGAAAGTCTGCATTGTAAGGTGAGATCCTACTTCCACGTCCACTGCAGTTAAAAAGTACACTCTTAGAAAAAAGGGTACCAAAAGGGTTGTTCGGCTGTCCCATAGGAGAACCCTTTTTGGTTCCAGGTAAAACCCTTTTTGGTTCCAGATAGAACCCTTTTGGGTTCCATGTCAAACCCTCTGTGGAAAGGGTTCTACATGGAACCCAAAACTGTTCTACTTGGAACCAAAAGGTTTCTACCTGGAACCAAAATGGGTTCTTCAAAGGGTTTTCCTATGGTAGCAGCCAAAGAACCCTTTTTGGTTCTAGATAGCACCTTTTTTTGTAGTATAAGCTACAGTATGTAGAGAGTTTGAAGAGGAATACCACAGGATAAGATCTGCCTGTGCCAAGCTAAGACTGTTGTTAAGTTTGATACAATCTGGGTTAAGTCTATCAAGCCCATCTACAGAAACTAGGTCCTTGGGATTATGTTTGAATGAAATAGACCCTTGTAACCTTATTTCACCAACTTTTTCCTGACCTTCACCTAGTCCGGGTTTACCTTACTTAATTACTTACTTACTTACTTAAATTTCAGTCCAGGATCCCTATTTGGGACCAGGGAATTCCCCCTATCGAGATGCTGCCGCCCACTAGCCTAAAATGCAGGAAAGTACACACATTTCTCAGGAGAAGCAGTGTGTGTAATCCTGGCCAGGTAGTCTGGTCTGGACAGAGGCTGTTCAAAGCTTCCCATCATCAGGGCTGTGTCTCAAATTGCACCCTAGTACCTATTAGTGCACTACTTTTGACCAGAGCCCTATGGGCCCTAAGCCCACTCTGCTTTCAACCTTAACCTTGCTTCTTGGCACCGGTTCCCATCAACCCCCTCAGACAGCCACTGTAGCGTAGAGGCTGAACTTTAAAAATACTTTTAGTGCAAAGTCTCCTTCAGATAAAAAAAAACACACAGAAAAGAGGGAAATATGATGTTAGAAACACCCCCATATAACAAAAGGTTTTCTATGATATTTAGATGTGCCTTTTGGGGGAATGAGATTCCTTTGAGAGAATGTGTGTAGGTAGGAGACATATGAATCCGTACATTAAGCTATGCTACTAATGAAATCCAATAGGTATGACAGTGTCTTTCTCTTCTTTCACAGGTTGTCCACAATAAGCAGGCCACACCTCCTTCCATCTCCAATGGGCTTTGGGAAAGGTATAAAAGCTCCACCACCACCTTTTGCGTCAGGACCAGTTGAAGTGCAATATTGAAGCCTGTACTGTACCATTCAGGATCCAGACTCTAACCTCAAGTCATGTTGACCAGGTAAGTGTATTATCTTTAATATATTTTTTTTAAGGTTAAGTGTATGATGCAGAATGTGACCCTAAGGCTGCGTTTACACAGACAGCCCAATTTTGATATTTTGCCTAACATTTACATTTACATCATTTAGCAGATGCTCTTATCCAGAGTGATTTTTGGTTTACATCTTTAATTTGAATGGTTATCACATAACCAATTGTTTTGTTTTTGACACATTTTACCTCTTTTTGATACCACTATACCTTTACAATTTAGATCTTTTTTTTATGATCCCAGGGTTTTTCAATAGAAAGTGGATTTAAAACGCCACATTAGGATGGCTTAGGTATTTTACAATGGGCGTGCCATACACTGATTAAAGAACCAGGTCTGCCCTCAGATCAATGGGAATAAGTTGTGGATAATGTCAGAGATCCTTCGGTTGGCACTTAAACAAAAATATTCCTAAAGCAGCCTGTTGATTACAAGGATTTGGTGTGTGATTGGGAATTAGAATTCAGAATAACAGATGGTCTTAGAATCACTGAGACAGGCATTAAGTAAAAGAGTCTGAAACAGAGAAGACAGCTGTGTCGAGGCCATTGCTTCTTTAACTAATCTGCAATTAGCATTGTTTTTTAAATTCCTCTTGAATTTCTGTTTCCAGGAATTTTCTCATCCTCTGCTCTCTGGCAGTTCTGCTAGTACAAGCTGACCTCGATACTAATAACGGTAAGTGTTGGCATTATGATTTAATACATAAAAACAGATGCTGAATCAAACAGCATGTATAGTAACATTAGCATAACGTACTTATTAACTGTTATTAATGAGTTACTATCTGTGGATGGTGGTCACAATGTGTGTCTCTGTGTGACACTTTCAGATCATGCTGCCCAAGCCATGTCCACGGGTAATCTAAGAAATGTTCTGCTTTTGCCAAACTCCTATGTTGGTCTTGATGTAACTTTTAAAATAACTTTGATTCAATCATTTGTATTTTGAAATTGCACTGCACTTACCCAGTTAAAGTTGTCTGAATCTGAATTCTATGAATAGCGTATGTAATGAAAGCCCTATTGCTATCTGATTCTGAACCACACTCCCTTTTCTCACAAACAGATAAGGACTCAACCTCGGAGGAAGCTCCAACTGGTAAGAGCAGCATCACCTCATTGGCTAACTCTTTACAACCAATGCTAAATAAGCCTGTAGTCTAATCTATAATCTGTGGTCTATATGTGTTCTATATACCCGTTCATAACAGTAATCAATCTGTGTTCTATATACCTGTTCATAATGGTAATCTCTGCTTTTTCCACAGAGAGCATGAATGCCATCTCCTCGGACCAGCCTAACGGTGAGCACAACAGAGAGGGGGAGGGGGGCGTTGTCTTACCTATGGGAGAGGGGAAACTCTAGGCATGGGTCAAACTCTGGAAGGGAGTGTGCAAGTGCACACTTCAGGAAGAGAGTGGATAACTGGCACGCAACTTCTGATCCCACTAAATAAAGGTGGGTCTTGTAGTCTTGACTAGCCCAGGTCAGATGGTTGTTTGTCTGCTGAGTCACAGACCCCACCCATTATCATGTGACATGAGACTGGGCACACTTGTTTGTAAACCCAGGCAGGTGTCGCGACTAGTTATTTGAAAGTCAAATAAATCAGTTTTCTCAAGAGAGCGGGAGGAAGCTACAATAGTGGTGTAACTATGACGACTTGACTGTGTCTAGCATCAACAGGTAAACCATTCCCCCTGAAAGTTAAAATTAGCTGAAAAAAACTAAAATGTTGATCTTCAAATCTATACCAAAGACGGTATAGTTAAATGACTAGTTCTATAACATGCTGCCTGTCAACTTTGTGACAACCTGATCTTGCAAGAAATTGAGGTTCTGTTCTGTGCATGGACATTCTAGAGTGTTCCTGAGAAAAACAGAGAGGTATCATTGCCTCTCAGTGTAGATTGGAGTCACTGTCACAGGAACAAATATTTTTTTTCACTGGATGTGACCTATGGGAAGGGCTAAACAGACCAACTAGCCAAAATCAAAAACTGACCTTTAACCCTTAACTTAACCAAACCCTTAAACCTGTCCATAACCCTAACAATAACCTGAACCTAACTTTAACCAATTCTGAAATTATATATCAGTTTGCACGATTACACGTCAGAAAACTCTGTAGAGCCCTTTCTGTGACTCATTAGAACCACCCAAAACAGGAGTAATGCTGGAGCTTTTTGTCCTGCACCGCCATCTAGTGGTACTTCTTGTATCCTGCAACATTTCCTCAGTATAGTGAAGCTTGCTGGCAGACAGTAACGCAAACTATAAATATTGAATCAAGGCAATATATCTAATGATACTGTTTATTATGATGCAATTTTTGTTACATTTCTTTATAGAAAAGCCACAGTATTACAATGGAGGGACTGCTGGTAGGGGCTTTTTAATTATCTGATGCAGTATAATTACAGTTTGGCAAATACTACAAGATTAAACACAATAAAATGTGATGAAAAAAATATATCTAAATTTAGACAGAAAATGTATGCCTTGCTCTGTAACATGTGAACATGTCTCATCTTAGATGTAAGCAGCACAAGTGTAGAAGTTAGACAAGATGGTGAGTTTACGTCATTCTGTATTCCCAATAAAACCATTGAAAGAATACTGGTATAATAAAAATGATGAATGAAGAAATAAACATAATTGTGTGGATATCTAAAGTATCTGTTCATCATTTGTCTCCCTACAGCTCCTAAACCTAACGGTGTCACTGGACCTGGTAGGTGTCCTTTTGTTATGTGTAGGAATATAACCCGTAGACATATGGCTTCCATTTAGTCACAAATGTATGCCTGTGAGAAAAAAATAACATTTCTATGAATGTGCTTCAATTCCTTATTGTAGGTGTTGCGGCAAACAGTGTTGAGGACCAGGAGGGTAAGATACTATATTCCAACAGGGAAGCACCATGCACACACACACATTTGTTTTATTGTTTATTGTAAGTCATTTAGCAGACGCTCTTATCCAGAGCGACTTACAGTTAGTGCATTCATCTTAAGATAGCTAGGTGGGACAACCACATATCACAGGCATAGTAAGTACATTTTTCCTCAATAAAGTAGCTATCACAAAGTCAGAGCTAGTAACGGGGAAAAAAATCAAGTGTGAGTCTTAGTGGGTCGGGCGTGAGGAGGGGGTGCGAGGGGGGATGGGGTGCTGTGGGATTATTTAAGATACTCTTTGAAGAGGAGGGGTTTCCAATGTTTTCGGAAGATGGGCAGGGACTCAGCTGTCCTAGCTTCAGGGGGAATCTGGTTTCACCATTGGGGTGCCAGGACAGAGAACAGCTTGGACAGGGCTTAGCGGGAGCTGCCCTCCCGTAGGGGTGAGAGGGCCAAGAGACCAGAGGTGACAGACACACACACACACACAGACACACAAACACACACAGACACACACATTCTGGTTTTACTATCCTTGTGGGGATCAAACAATTGATTCCCATTCAAAATCCTAATTTCCCTAACCCATAACCCTAAACCTAACCCTTAGCCTAACCCTAACCCTAAACCTAACCACTAAGCCTAAAATAGCCTTTTTCCTTGTGGGGACCGGCGAAATGTCCCCACTTGTCCGAATTTTACTTGTTTTACTATCCTTGTGGGGACAAGAAACACACTCAAACACACACCTTTTCAACACAAATCACAAATACCTCACAGGAATCATTCCAGATATTAAAAGTGGAGAAAAAGGATGAATGTTGAACCAATCAAATGTGTGTAATGTTCCACAATTAACTTTAACGTTTCTTTATCTTTCAGAGGATGAGAGCTCAGATGAAGGTCTGAAAAAAAGAATTGTTCCTCCTCCTCCTCCTCCTCCTCCTGCTCCACAACAAAACTCACGAAAGTTAGTTGGGCCAGCAGGTGGGAACCGGAGAAAGGCCCCAGCCCCACAACAGAAGAGGAGATCACGACCCTCCCGCCGTCAGCCCTGAAATGCCACAAAGACACACAGAGGCAAACATTTACTTTTAGTTAATTACATAGAAGAAGAAGAAATATTGTATCCTATTACTGTATATGCCATAACAAGGAGGTGTACAGAACGGTACGCACATGATGAAGCTGTTTTGATGTATCTTGTGAAGCAGAACAAAGTCAGCATGACATTACATATTGTTTACTGTAACTTCTGTGGAAAAAACTCAGTGGTATGTTCAATACAAACTCATGGGCATTTCTCTGTGAATAAAATGTAGCATTAAATTAACAATTTATTGTGATGACATAAAACCTAATAACACCAGTGGGAGACTAGTTCACACCACCATTAAAATCCAGGGTGAGGCATGCTTTGTGCAGCGTCATAACTGACCTCAACCTTAAGAGTCAATGATACTGCTCTAAATTCACCAACCTGTTTCAAAATAGCAAGGACCTCACTCCCATGAAAATACCTCCATTTCTAAAGGAACGCACACACCGCACCGAATGTCTATCTGCTGTTCCTTCGCCATTCGTTCGGCGTGGTGTGTTTTACGGACCACTTGCCGGTGGGCGTCTGATTGCCAACATTTTCGCATATAGAATCGGTTTGCACTCGGTTTGCAAATTACAGCTGGCACTCTGTTCAGAGGTGCTATGTACTCTCGGTGGGAAAACGATACCGGTGTGTCAGTGCCTTTAGAGATAATCTTGCTATTTGGATCATTAGCCAGTTGGTGGCAATATGGAGGTACGAACTTGCAATACAAGCTGTTGTTAGCTAAAGTGAAAAGACTAGATATTCTTTATCAACTATATTTTTCTTCATCCTTTAAAGAAAATGCTAAAGAAATCCCATCATTTCTCTCAGAGTTGATGAGGATACCTTTGACTGGTGCTGCCTACCCAAAGACTGTTCTACTGTACTCAGTCTCTGCATATTTGTTAGTTGATAGTCTTCAAAAACAACCCTGCTCTCGAACACAAAACCAGTGTTTCAATCAAAAGTGTTTATTTCTTTATTCTAATCATCATTTTTATACACACAGTATTTTACACATTATGTATAAAACATGTTTGATGAATATCAATTTCAAAACATGTTTAAGTGTAAACCTCATTATCTTACATGATATCATTCTAAATAAACTTCTTTGAGCAAAGTGACTGTTTTCCATCCTTGAACCATGCCGGATTGTTAAACATTTTACATTTACATTTAAGTCATTTAGCAGACGCTCTTATCCAGAGCGACTTACAAATTGGTGCATTCAACTTAGGATAGCCAGTGGGACAACCACATCTTGATCACAGAAAGTACACTTCTTCAAACAAGCAGCTGTGAGCAAAGTCAGTGCAATCAGGGACAACTACATCTCGATCACAATAAGTACATTTCTTTAAACAAGTCAGTGCTAGCAGGTGAAATAAGTCAGGTGTTAGTTTAGACAAAAGACAGTGGTGGTAAAGGGGGGGTAGAATGATTACTATTATACTATTCCAGGTATTCCTTAAAGAGGTAGGGTTTCAAGTGTCTCCGGAAGGTGGTCAGTGACTCCGCTGTCCTGGGGTCGTGGGGGAGCTTGTTCCACCATTGGAGTGCCAGAGCAGCGAATAGCTTTGACTGGGCTGAGGGGGAACTGTGCTTCCGTAGAGGTAGGGGGGCTAGCAGGCCAGAGGTGGATGAACGTAGTGCCCTCGTTTGGGTGTAGGGTCTGATCAGAGCCTGAAGGTGAGGAGGTGCCGTTCCCCTCACAGCTCCGTAGGCAAGCACCATGGTTTTGTAGTAGATGCGAGCTTCAACTGGAAGCCAGTGGAGTGTGCGGAGGAGCAGGGTGACGTGAGAGAACTTGGGAAGGTTGAACACCAGACGGGCTGCAGCGTTCTGGATAAGTTGCAGGGGTTTAATGGCACAGGAAGGGAGCCCAGCCAACAGCGAGTTGCAGTAATCCAGACGGGAGATGACAAGTGCCTGGATTAGGACCTGTGCCGCTTTCTGTGTAAGGTAGGGTCGTACTCTGCGAATGTTGTAGAGCATGAACCTGCAGGATCGGGTCACCGCTTTGATGTTAGCAGAGAACGACAGGGTGTTGTCCAGGGTCACGCCAAGGTTCTTTACACTCTGGGAGGAGGACACAATGGAGTTGTCAACCGTGATGGCGAGATCATGGAGTGGGCAGTCCTTCCCGCTCCATGGAGGAAGAGCAGCTCCGTCTTGCCGAGGTTCAGCTTGATGTGGTGATCAGACATCCACACTGATATGTCTGCCAGAAATGCAGAGTTGCGATTCGCCACCTGGTTATCAGAAGGGGGAATGCAGAAAATGAATTGTGTGTCGTCTGTGTAGCAATGATAGGAGAGACCATGTGAGGATATGACAGAGCCAAGTGACTTGGTGTATAGAGAGAATAGGAGAGGGCCTAGAACTGAGCCCTGGGGGACACCAGTGGTGAGAGCACTTGGTGTGGAGACAGATTCTCGCCACGCCACCTGGTAGGAGCGACCTGTCATGTAGGACGCAATCCAAGAGTGAGCAGCGCCAGAGATGCCCAACTCGGAGAGGGTGGAGAGGAGGATCTGATGGTTCACAGTATCAAAGGCAGCAGATAGGTCTAAAAGGATAAGAGCAGAGGAGAGAGAGTTAGCTTTGGCAGTGCGGAGAGCCTCCGTGACACAGAGAAGAGCAGTCTCAGTTGAATGACCAGTCTTGAAATCTGACTGGTTAGGATCAAGAAGGTCATTCTGAGAGAGATAGCAGGAGAGTTGGCTAGAGATGACACGCTCAAGAGTTTTGGAGAGAAAAGAAAGAAGGGATACTGGTCTGTAGTTGTTGACATCGGAGGGATCGAGTGTAGGTTTTTTGAGGAGGGGTGCAACTCTCGCCCTCTTGAAGACGGAAGGGACATAGCCAGCGGTCAAGGATGAGTTGATGAGCGAGGTGAGGTAAGGGAGAAGGTCTCCGGAAATGGTCTGGAGAAGAGAGGAGGGGATAGGGTCAAGCGGGCAGGTTGTTGGGCGGCCGGCCATCACAAGTCGCAAGATTTCATCTGGAGAGAGAGGGGAGAAAGAAGTCAAAGCATAGGGTAGGGCAGTGTGAGGAGGACCAGCGGTGTCATTTGACTCAATAAATGAGGATCGGATGTCGTCAACCTTCTTTTCAAAATGGTTGACGAAGTCATCCACAGAGAGGGAGGAGGGAAGGGGAGGAGGAGGAGGATTCAGCAGGGAGGAGAAGGTGGCAAAGAGCTTCCTATGGTTAGAGGCAGAGGCTTGAAATTTAGAGTGGTAGAAAGTGGCTTTAGCAGCAGAAACAGAGGAAGAAAAAGTAGAGAGGACAGAGTGAAAAGATGACAGGTCCGCAGGGAGTCTAGTTTTCCTCCATTTCCGCTCGGCTGCCCGGAGCCCTGTTCTGTGAGCTCGCAATGAGTCGTCAAGCCACGGAGCAGGAGGGGAGGACCGAGCCGGCCGGGAAGATAGGGGACATAGAGAGTCAAAAGATGCAGAAAGGGAGGAGAGGAGGGTCGAGGAGGCAGAATCAGGAGACCGGAGGGAGAAGGATTTAGCAGAGGGAAGAGATGATAAAAATGAATAATAATAATAATAATAATGAATTGACAATACATTCCTAAATAACAAAAAGGATTCGAAAATCGTGCTTTATTTAGAGTGAATGGCCTTGATTCGCTGGCATTTCAAAATGTAATTCTTATTCTGGTTAACGTTATACCTGTCTTCTACTTTAAATAATTTCTAACTGTTTCAAGAAAGGTTACCTGGAAATGGAAATTAGACATGGAAATATGAGGATGAAAGAAGACCTAAGTACAAAGAAAATAATAGATTATTATTGTTATTACCATTTTCTATGTACACTGCTCTCTGTTTCTGACCTGAAGCTTCCTGTGTTCTGAATACCGATCCTGGAGTCTTGGTGCCAATATGAGCCTTGTGCTTTCCTCCAGTGTAGTATTTCTCTAGCATGCACTTTTTTCAAGGTAACCAGTAATTAATACATTTTACTATTTCATATTTTATTAGGATCCCCATCAGGTACTGCTAAAGCAGCAGCTACTCTTCCTCGGGTCCATACAAAACATAAAACATGACATAATACATAACATGAATAGACAAGTACAGCACAAGGACAGAACTACATACATTTTTTATAAGAATACACACTTTCATACATTTATGCCTTAGCATTCCATGCATCATGTACTCATTATAACAGAAATACTGCAGCCATTCATTTCCCATGCGTTGCGATTCCTTTGCTCTGCTGTTACAATTGCCTTGTCTAAGCAGGTCCTGATATCCTAATCTCACAGCACCAGCTGTTCTGTAAACACCAGAGAGAATCTCACAACATCAGGAACCATCCGTGTCCTTGGTTCTTCCGTTTGACGTCAAGACTATGCATAAACATGTGATTCATAGATGCTATTGAATGCAAAACACAAAAATGAAAATGGAAATGCAATAATCATGTGGAGTTTCACTGAAGTCGTTAACTCCTGCTCCGTTCTGCTGGCGTGAACATAGCCACATACACTACATGACCAAAAGTATGTGTACACCTGCTCCTCGAACATCTAATTCCAAAATCATGGGTATTAATATGGAGTTGCTTCCGTTCAACCACAAGAGCATTAGTGAGGTTGGGCACTGATGTTGGGCAATTAGGCCTACCTCTCAGTGTAGATTGGAGTCACTGTCACAGGAACTAATATTTTTTTCCACTGGAAGTGACCTATGGGAAGGGCTAAACAGGCAAACTAGCCAAATTCAAAAGCTTCTGATTTCACTAAATAAAAGTGGGTCTTGTAGTCTTGACTAGCCCAGGTCAGATGGTTGTTTGTCTGCTGAGTCACAGACCCCACCCATTATCATGTGACATGAGACTGGGCACACTTGTTTGTAAACCCAGGCAGGTGTCGCGACTGGTTATTTGAAAGTCAAATAAATCAATTTTCTCAAGAGAGCGGGAGGAAGCTACAATAGTGGTGTAACTATGATGACTTGACTGTGTCTAGCATCAACAGGTAAACCATTCCCCCTGAAAGTTAAAATTAGCTGAAAAAACTAAAATGTTGATCTTCAAATCTATGCCAAAGATGTGATGGTTAAATGACTAGTTCTATAACATGCTGCCTGTCAACTTTGTGACAGCCTGCTCTTGCGAGAAATTGAGGTTCTGTTCTGTGCATGGACATTCTAGAGTGTTCCTGAGAAAACAGAGAGATGTCACTGCCTCTCAGTGTAGATTGGAGTCACTGTCACAGGAACAAATATTATTTTCCACTGGATGTGACCTATGGGAAGGGCTAAACAGACAAACTAGCCAAAACCAAAAACTGACCTTTAACCCTTAACTTAACCAAACCCTTAAACCTGTCCATAACCCTAACAATAACCTGAACCTAATTTTAACCAATTCTGAAATTATATATCAGTTTGCACGTTTGCACGTCAGAAACGTCTGTAGAGCCCTTTCTGTGACTCAATAGAACCACCCAAATCAGGAGAGATGCTGGAACTTTGTTCTGCACCGCCATCTAGTGGTACTTCTTGTATCCTGCAACATTTCCTGAATCTTGCTGGCAGACAGTAACGCTAACTATAAATATTGAATCAAGGCAATATAGCTAATGATACTGTTTATTATGATGCAATTTTTGTTACATTTCTTTATAGAAAAGCCACAGTATTACAATGGAGGGACTGCTGGTAGGGGCTTTTTAATTATCTGATGCAGTATAATTACAGTTTGGCAAATACTACAAGATTAAACACAATAAAATGTGATGAAAAAAATATATCTATATTTAGACAGAAAATGTATGCCTTGCTCTGTAACATGTCAACATGTCTCATCTTAGATGTAAGCAGCACAAGTGTAGAAGTTAGACAAGATGGTGAGTTTACGTCATTCTGTATTCCCAATAAAACCATTGAAAGAATACTGGTATAATAAAAATGATGAATGAAGAAATAAACATAATTGTGTTGATATCTAAAGTATCTGTTCATCATTTGTCTCCCTACAGCTCCTAAACCTAACGGTGTCACTGGACCTGGTAGGTGTCCTTTTGTTATGTGTAGGAATATAACCCGTAGACATATGGTCACCATTTAGTCACAAATGTATGCCTGTGAGAAAAAAATAACATTTCTATGAATGTGCTTCAATTCCTTATTGTAGGTGTTGCGGCAAACAGTGTTGAGGACCAGGAGGGTAAGATACTATATTCCAACAGGGAAGCACCATGCACACACACACATTTGTTTTATTGTTTATTGTAAGTCATTTAGCAGACGCTCTTATCCAGAGCGACTTACAGTTAGTGCATTCATCTTAAGATAGCTAGGTGGGACAACCACATATCACAGGCATAGTAAGTACATTTTTCCTCAATAAAGTAGCTATCACAAAGTCAGAGCTAGTAACGGGGAAAAAAGTCAAGTGTGAGTCTTAGTGGGTCGGGCGTGAGGAGGGGGTGCGAGGGGGGATGGGGTGCTGTGGGATTATTTAAGATACTCTTTGAAGAGGAAGGGTTTCAGATGTTTTCGGAAGATGGGCAGGGACTCTGCTGTCCTAGCTTCAGGGGGAATCTGGTTTCACCATTGGGGTGCCAGGACAGAGAACAGCTTGGACTGGGCTTAGCGGGAGCTGCCCTCCCGTAGGGGTGAGAGGGCCAAGAGACCAGAGGTGACAGACACACACACACACACAGACACACAAACACACACAGACACACACATTCTGGTTTTACTATCCTTGTGGGGATCAAACAATTGATTCCCATTCAAAATCCTAATTTCCCTAACCCATAACCCTAAACCTAACCCTTAGCCTAACCCTAACCCTAAACCTAACCACTAAGCCTAAAATAGCCTTTTTCCTTGTGGGGACCGGCGAAATGTCCCCACTTGTCCGAATTTTACTTGTTTTACTATCCTTGTGGGGACAAGAAACACACTCAAACACACACCTTTTCAACACAAATCACAAATACCTCACAGGAATCATTCCAGATATTAAAAGTGGAGAAAAAGGATGAATATTGAACCAATCAAATGTGTGTAATGTTCTACAATTAACTTTAACGTTTCTTTATCTTTCAGAGGATGAGAGCTCAGATGAAGGTCTGAAAAAAAGAATTGTTCCTCCTCCTCCTCCTCCTCCTCCTGCTCCACAACAAAACTCACGAAAGTTAGTTGGGCCAGCAGGTGGGAACCGGAGAAAGGCCCCAGCCCCACAACAGAAGAGGAGATCACGACCCTCCCGCCGTCAGCCCTGAAATGCCACAAAGACACACGGAGGCAAACATTTACTTTTAGTTAATTACATAGAAGAAGAAGAAATATTGTATCCTATTACTGTATATGCCATAACAAGGAGGTGTACAGAACGGTACGCACATGATGAAGCTGTTTTGCTGTATCTTGTGAAGCAGAACAAAGTCAGCATGACGTTACATATTGTTTACTGTAACTTCTGTGGAAAAAACTCAGTGGCATGTTCAATACAAACTCATGGGCATTTCTCTGTGAATAAAATGTAGCATTAAATTAACAATTTATTGTGATGACATAAAACCTAATAACACCAGTGGGAGACTAGTTCACACCACCATCACTCCAGAGAACGCGTTTCCACTGCTCCAGAGTCCAATGGCGGCGAGCTTTCATGAAGATCCCGACGAACAGTTCTTGTGCTGATGTTGCTTCCAGAGGCAGTTTGGAACTCGGTCGTGAGTGTTGCAACCGAGGACAGACAGTACGCGCTTCAGTACTCGACGGTCCTGTTCTGTGAGCTTGCGTAGCCTACCACTTCGCGGCTGAGCCGTTGTTGCTCCTAGACGTTTCCACTTCACAATATCAGCACTTACAGTTGACCGGGGCAGGTCTAGCAGGGCAGAAATTTGAAGAACTGACTTGTTGGAAAGGTGGCATCCTATGACGGTGCCATGTTGAAAGTCACTGAGCTCTTCAGTAAGGCCATTCTACTGCCAATGTTTGTCCATGGAGATTGCATGGCTGTGTGCTCGATTTTATACACCTGTCAGCAACGTGTGTGGCTGAAATAGCCAAATCAACTAAGTTGAAGGGGTGTCCACATACTTTTGTATATAGTGTATCATATCGTATGGAGTTGCAGCTACGTTTTACTCCTGCTATGTTCCCCTGATGTGAGCACAGCAACCTTGAATCGTATGGAGTTGCACCGCACTCAGATCAATTCCTCTGACATGAATAAAGCTACCTTGTTTTGCTAAATTCTCCTGACGTGACATTGAGAAATATGTGTAATAATCTCTTTGATTGGTGATTGAGTCTTTACAGTTATAATAATAATGTATTGTATTTGTATATACAGTAAAGTGAATTCTCACAAACCCAAAGTGCTTTACATATCAATAAACCATCACATTCAGGATGACAGAACATACGGTATGTACGAATTTACACTGAGTGTAAAAAACATTAGGAACATATTTCTAATATTGAGTTGCACCCCCTTTTGCCCTCAGAACAGCCACAATTCATCAGGGCATAGACTCTACAAGGTGTCAAAAGCGTTCCACAGGGATGCTGGTCCATGTGTACTCCAATGCTTCCCACTGTTGTGTTAAGTTGGCTGGATGTCCTTTGGGTGGTGGACCATTCTTGATACACACAGGAAACTGTTGAGCATGAAAAGCCCATCAGCGTTGCAGTTCTTGACACACTCAAACTGGTGCACCTGGCACCTCCTACCATACCCCGTTCAAAGGTACTTAAATATTTTGTCTTGCCCATTCACCCTCTGATTGGCACACATACACAATCCATGTCTCAATTGTCTCAAGGCTTAAAAATCTTTCTTTAACCTGTCTCCTCCCCTTCATCTACACTGATTGAAGTGACATCAATAAGGGCTCATAGCTTTTACCTGGATTCACCTGGTCAGTCTATGTCATGGAAAGAGCAGGTGTTCCTAATGTTTTGTACACTCAGTGTACATCAAAATAACATTTCCCAAACTACCCTCTTAGTGAATACTTGACCTTAGTGGCCCCATTACCTGTGTGAATGTGACCCCATTACCTGTGTGAATGTGACCCCATTACCTGTGTGAATGTGACCCCATTACCTGTGTGAATGCCCAGACAGTGGGTAACCCTGCTCGAGGTCCCTTCTAGTCAGCAACCACTTCCAATCCCTGAACGAAACCATCAGAGTTATGAACCACCAATACAACAATAGCATTACCTGTTCTATTCCCCCATAATGGTCAGGCCACTCTTAGTCTTACACTGAAGCGGATACCACCAGGTTACTGGACACCCCTGCAGCCTGATCCATTAAACTTCTGGGGCTGGCAAGAGCCCTTATCGGATGGATAAGCCCCTGGATCCGGCCCGGCCCCAGGCAGCCCTCCTCAGAGAGGCAACCAGGTTCTACTTTCTCTCTCAGCCGAATCCCACACAACCATGCAAGAAGGTTATAGAGCTCAAGCCTCCAAGCCTATCCTATGAGGCATTAACGCTCCCTCCCCTCCCCATAATCCTCCACTCCATCCTCCCTCTTATATTTTCTGTGAGGGGTTTGACTTCTAGAGTGACACCCACACACCGGCACGACAAAACAACACTCAGCCCAGTTCCTCCAGATTCTATCGACCTTTTATGGTTCACTGGTCTCCGGTGTCACCTTCCTTTGCTGGGTTTCCCCGCGCTTCCCTGCGACCACAAAACACCCTCTGTTGCAGGTATAACAATGAGGCGAAAGCTCTATGTTTATCTCTCTGTACTACCACAGTTTTTTTCTTAGTTGTGTTTTAATGTTTCATGAACGGTTGTAGAGGTTTGCAATATTTGAAAGATGTTAACGACAAACCTAGCATATACTGGCTTATGTATATAGGGAACAATCCAACTTATTATCTTTGCTGTGACTTGGATAGGCTGCATCCTAAAACTGCTTTAAAGGTGAACTGACTAGCTAAAATTACAGCAGCATCACTTAAACTCAGTACAGACTCTGAACACAACCACTTTAAAGCAGTTTAAGGGTCCATCTCTCCTCTCTGATGTGCTGCGTCATTCAAAGGCCTCCCTCACAGACACTAGGTGCCAGAAAGACAAAGACGCTCTGTTGCTCTAAGCAACAGTCTTTCACTTCACTCACATGAAAAAGGATCAAGTGAACATGAACATGCTCTCTGAAATATCAGTCACATGTCAAACTGACACAGGACCATTTAGAACGATCTACTGCATGTTGTATTGTCCAGATTTTTGTAGGGACCCAATTCTGAACTGAATGTGGCTACTATAAAGTTCTGCTAGGGTTACGTCCCCTTTGTCTATGAGCCTGTGCACAGTTGATCGGGTGGTGGCATCAGCGCTGCTCCCTGCTGCTCCTGAGAAGGATTGCAGACACTCACGTTAGTAAGACGGCATTTGTTGTGCTTACTTTTCACAAGACAAAACACAGTGAATCCAAATGAAACAAGGATGAAGAACTAAAATCATAATCACACACAAAATAAATCAAATGAAGAACTATTGTTTTTATATTTGTATTAGGTCTGTTTCATAGCCTTGTTAGAGACCAGGCCAAACACAAACTTCAGAAAAGTCTATCGCTCACTGAGGGCTTGTCACGGATTCTGCCGAGACTGCTCCTCCTCCTGGTTCGGGCAGGCTTCGGCGTTCGCCGTCCCCGGAGTACTAGCTGCCACCGCTCTATGTTTCGTAGTGTGATTGCTTTTGTCTGTCTTTTATACCTGTGTCCATTTGTGTGTTGATTACTTGTCTTATAAGTTCCTTGTTTTGCATTAGTCTGATTGTGTGTTGTTATTTTCTGCCTGTCGTGCAGAGCTGCGTGTCTGCACTCTGTCTATGTTTGGGATTATTGTTTACGCGTGTTTGCGTAATTGCCTCGCCTCCGTCTGTTTTCGAGGTCGTGTTTTGTTTGTTGCTCTTTGGACTATTAAATTATTTTGGACGTATCCTCTGTGTCCTGCGCCTGACTCCTCCACCACATCCACATCGGAACTACTGACAGGGCTTTAAAATATAAAAAGGCAAACCAGTTGCTCTCTGTGTGACTTCACCGTCATTAAACACAGACACTGAGGTAAGTAGAATTAGGCCTAGAGCCTGGGAGGAGAGGGGGGCATTAGTCAGAAAACTGGTCACTTATTTTCTTTCAGGCTGGAGGCATGCTTCAACCACCCAACACGGTTGCTATTGACACACAACAACACAGACAGTGGTAAGGTGTCATAGTAGAGTAGTGGGCTCTCCACCATCACCTAGTCAGCAAAGTGTACCAGTTAGGCCATAAAGAGAAAGAGGTGGGATTCTTCTTTTCTCTCTCTCTCTCTCTCTCTCTCTCTCTCTCTCTCTCTCTCTCTCTCTCTCTCTCTCTCTCTCTCTCTCTCTCTCTCTCTCTCTCTCTCTCTCTCTCTCTCTCTCTCTCTCTCTCTCTCATTAAGAGCAGTTTGCATGCATACCACCAGCTTCCAACTGTGAATAAAACAGTTGAAGAAACACAGGGCAATGGAAAGAGTTTGGCTGGCTACCTTGCTTGCACTTTCACTGAATGGCCTCCATCTTTTAACAGAGGTGTCTGTCTTCAAGATTTACCTTTCTCTTTTTTTGGATCCCTCATTTAACCCCAGTTTCCTGAGACCTCACTTTGTCGTCTGTTTTCTGGGTTTTCTGTCCAGGCCAGTTGTGACTGTAGCTGTATAGAGCAGGGCTACTGAAGGGCATGGCAAGCAAGCAAGCAGTCAGCTAAAGGAACAAGCCTTTCCTTATGAAGCTGCACAGTCACAGGTAAGGAGTCTGTTTCCAGGACTTGGATTGAAAAGAGGGATTTGTACTTCCCACATATATACGCACATGTATCATTTGTTCCTGATATCAGCCATGACCAAATAAAGAGCTATGCGGAATACATCATGATTTTCCATAAAAACAACTCCATCCTCCATAGGCCACAATGCTCTTTTTAAATGTGATGAAAAATACATATGGCCCTTCCCACTGGGCACAAACTGGCTGATTCAACGTTGTTTCATGTTTGACAAGTGAATAAAATCTCAATCAAAATTAGACGTTGAACTGATGTCTAAGTCTCCAAATATGGTATCATTGCTAATGTCACGACTTCCTCCGAAGCTGCCTCCTCTCCTTGTTCGGGCAGGCTTCGGCGTTCGTCGTCACCGGCCTTCTAGCCACTGCCGCTCCTCATCTCATCATTCCATTTGTTTTGTCTTGTTTATTACACACACCTGGTTTCAATT